CATAATGTTTTGTTGTTTGAAGCCCCACTCAGGGGCCGCTATATAGGCAAGCCATAAATATGGCCAATTGTCTAAACGCGGTTTCTGGGACCTCTCCACGGTGATCCCCATCCACATGGTGGCACTTTGTGTCATCGGGTGTTTATCACTTGTGTGATGTCCTGGTGGGGTAGAAAGTCAGTCAGTCAGTCAGCTCAGAAAGAGGCTGCATTCATTGGTCATGTGATGAGAAGAAGAAAATTAGTAGGAAAGTTGGAGGGGAGAAGAGACAGAGGGGGGCCGAGAGAAAAGATGCTAGACAGTATGATAACCAAGGTTAGTTTCGTATTCTTTACAGGACGTTGCAGAACCAACCCCAACAGCCACTGGTTGTGGTGTGGTTTTTCAATGCAAATTTACGTCTAGTAGTTTGCCATTGCTTCTGGACGGTCGGCTTTTTTGATACCACTGTCTAACCAACGCAAGGCGCATGGCCTGCTGCTGGGATCGAACCCGGCATCCTGGCATCACGAAGCCTTCGCATTGACTTAGCCACAGAGCCGACATGATAAACAAGAGAAGATGGAAATGGCTTGGCTAGGTTATGAGAATGAATCCTGATATACCTGCCAAAACAGCTCTCACATGGATATGAGAGGGAGAGAGTATGACTGACTGACTGACTGACTATCTACCCCACTAGGACATCACAGAATGATAAACACCCGAATACACAAAGTGTCACCATGTGGATAAGACTGGGCGTTTCATGAATAAACCTCACGACGCTGATGAATATGTTGAGATGGGAATCTGAGCGCTTATAGATGTGTCCAGAGTGCTGTGAAAAATCTAACTCAATACTCAACTCTAAACCTGTGGAGAGAAATTATTAGAATCAGTAATGGAAGGGACATAATCCCAAAGTTTACTTTGTATATTTTTACAAGGGAAATAATTTGTATATTTAAATTCTTTTAATATATACTGCGTAAAATTACAAAAATTGTAAAGCGTTATTACAATACTTCAAAATGTATTTGTTGCATATTAAAAGTTAATGAAATTCTTTGACAAATTCTGTAACTGACTTCTAATTTTGCTGAAGACGTTGTCTAAAACTCTTCTAATGACAAAGCAGAATTGTTTATACATTTCATTAAAGGGCCCGGAAAACGGGCATGGAATATGGCCACCAGAACCATAGTTAATATGGAAAAATGGCACCTCAGCAAGAATGTGCCGCAGTTTAAAGATTTCGGTGCGGCAAAGATGCGCAATGTAACATGTCTACACCTAACTAATATTTGAAGAAATTCTGCTTAAGATGTATTTTGTTGTATACATTTACATTTATTGAATGTTCAGACAAACTGCAAATGTTTTTAAAACTATACATTGTCTCATATACTTGTACTTAAAGTCAAAGGTCATATAATATATTTGAACTATCTCTTTGAAACTTGTTAAACTTTGTACACAAAATACATACTTAAATTATGTCCCTTTTTGTGATGCCATGCAATCAGAGAATTTGCCGAATCAATAAAAACATCAAATAATATTTTTTTTAGTAATTGCAAGCTATAACGATACATTTTACAATCCTTGTGGATTTTTCTGTGACATGTGGGTGTTGCCGATGAAAGTCAAAATTATTTTATATTTTACTATTTAACACTAAGGGAGGTAATTGACTGTATTCTTTAGCGTGAAAAAGACCGAATTCAGAAAACTGAAAGTCTACAATTTCCCAGAACTACTCAAAGAATATACCCACCATTACTAGACTGCTTGTTATGTTTCTAAATTTTTGTGGCGCCCTAAAATAATTGATATGTCTAAACGATGGAACCGGTTTTCATGATTATCCATGCAGTGTTAGCGCTGCATTTGCTATCATAGAGAAAAAAGCATTTGCCCTTCTAGGGAACAATCGGCACCCCATTATGGGACACAATTTGTAATAAAATTTGTAAATCCCCAATCCAGCTGTTGTCTGAGACTCAAAATTAACATACAAGTTAAAAGAGGTTTCTGCGACTTGTGCGCAGGTGATTCTCATCCGAAAGGAGGCACTTTGTGTCACCGGGTGTTTTTCGCTGATTAGTTGGATTATCATCATTGCACTCCGGACATGTCCATAGGTGCTCAGATCCTCCCCTCAGTATGAACCCCAACGTCCGATGGCTAATAGAACCAGTTCTATGTTGATTACCAAGTCTTCTGGCGTGTCTGGTGTGCGTCTCGTTTTTTGCTATGCCGATCTTAATTCCTAAGTCTGCCATTCTGGCGAGTGATGTGGATTTACTGCCCCCAAAGTCCCCTATCCTTCCCATTTCCCTAAGGGAATTAATAGTATCAGCATGATCCATAGGCTGACCGTCTGTAATGATAGCGGATATAGCCAACCTATCAGCTCTTTCATTTCCATCGACGCCTGCCGGAATAAAAATAAAGGTGACTCCACGCACAGTGGACTTCTGTAATGATTCAGGCCATTGTCGGAACCTGCCGGAACCCTCCGGATCATACTCACTGAATCACTGATTATACCTACGCGGTTGTAGTTTTGTGTTTCGAGCTAGGCGAACGCTTGCGTCGTTGCCATTACGTCCATCGTCAAGCTGCTGGTTGTCATGGAGAAGGCGCCGTTGGCTTCTTTGACTGTTCTGCCCGCTGAGCGTGTTGTGGATGCCCAAGCGCTTTTGTTTTTGGCGTTAAACGGATCCGTCTGTGTAGATTATTGCATCTGCTTCGTCTGAATTTTCACCGATGAGAGTGTTGACCTCTGCATTAACAGCAACAGGTTTCTCTTCTCTAAATTGCCTGTTGAGTGTGGCAGTACAGGAAAATGTACAAATAAACACACGAGGCACAGGTATCCACTCTGCACCAGGGGTGATGTCGGTTAGGCTGCTTTTTTGCCCAGTAACATCTTTTGCCCGACCTAGCCATGATTGTCCCTGCTTCAGACTGTCGCCCTTTTCAGTAAAAAGCGCTCGATGCAGTGGGTGTTTCTTATCAGCACATATTTTAATGTATGCCCGAGCCCTCCAGATCCTGATCCGTTGGTTCATAGTTGAAAAATTAAAAAGATACCTCATTGCTCCACAGGATGTGTCTCTTGTACATCCCAAAATAATGCGCATGGCCTCATTTATCGCCGATTGTACAGTACTAGTGTGGTTAAAAGTCTGTCGTTTCCCTTCAAATGTCATTACAGCCCCAGTAGGGGCCACAGCATTTTATTATTTGAAAGCTGTCGCCCGGTGTTTTTCGCTTCTGGTGGGGTCCAGATGGGATTTAAACGTCACTCAATCAGTTAGTTGCCATCAATACAACACATGCAGTAGATCTTTTGTTGTTTTTGCGGTTACGTGGTCCTTGGGTGACACTTTCACTGTTACACTGCCAAAGAGAAGTATATAGCAAACAAAATAACTTTTGAAAGTTGGCAGAGAGAGAGAGAGAGAGAGAGAGAGAGAGAGAGAGAGAGAGAGAGAGAGAGAGAGAGAGAGAGAGAGAGAGATATATTGGGAGCGTGAGAGTGAGTGGCTAGAAAAAGAATGGGAAGAGAGAGGAGAAACGAATGTTCTGCACACATGTATATTCTGTTAATAGAATGCTTTTATGTATCAATAATTATATCATGTAACTTCGGAGTATGTAAAGGAAATATGAATCAAAATAAAAGCTGACAAAGGCAAACAAAAAGTATAGCACGAAATGTTTTGTTGTTTTAAAGCCCCACCCTGACTTGCCGAGTCCCTAATAAAACACAATCTATGGGTTGAATGGAATTTTTGTGATCCTGGGTGATTGTCATCTGCATGGTGGCACAGTGTTCATTCGGGTGTTTATCGTTTGGTGGATGTCCTGGTGGGGGTGAACATCACTCACTCACTGCTTTTGTTATTTGTCGCCTTCATAACTTGAAAGTACATATTGTATTTTTCTGAGTCTTGTCTTCCCCTTTTGGGATGCAATTTTTCGTTGTTCTGAAGCCCTACCCTGGCTCTTGCCAGGTGTCGCCATATAGCCCGGCCATAACTATGGCCTAATGGCTAAACGCTGTTTCTGGGACCTCTCCACTGGTGATCCTCATCCACTTTGTGTCATCGCTTGTGTGATTCCCTAGTGGGGTAAAATATACTACCAATACTACTGCTGCTACCACCACCACCACTACTAGTACTACTACTACCACCACCACCACCACTACTACTACTACGTAGTAGTAGTTTCATAGATACTTCCAGCTTTTCTAAAATAGTGTTAGATAATGGCAATGACTACTGTAACAAATTTAGACTTTTTTAAGCAATTAAAAAAAAAGATGTCATTTACTTCTTTTGTGAGTTGCCATGGCGAAGTGGCTAGACGCTCACCTTCGGATCGGAAGGTTATGGGTTCACTCCCTGGCAGAGCTGGACTTTTTACATAAATGACCTTGGTTCCAATGTCGACCCAGCCTTGAGTGGGCACGGGTGCAGTCCCAGGAAGTAAAACGGCCGGCGTGATGCTGACCACATCACCCATCTTGTGTCTTGGTCTTAAAAATATAGGTCTATCCCTATACGCTTAAAGGTGTGGGAAAAGGTTCTTTACTTACGTTACTTTATGTACTTCTTTTGTCAACTTTGTTCTGCAAACAAAGTGTAGTGAGACTTAACAAACACTGCATAAGTTATTGTGTGTTCAGAAACTTTTGCCTATAAAGTTGTTGTTTGTGTAGAACATTCTGCACTTCTGCCTCTACAATTACTCTTTGTGCAGAACAACAGTACTTAAACCTTTTACCTGCGGCACAATTGTCTGGTTTAAAAAAAAAACAAATTGTGGCACAGCGACCCTTAAAGTGGTTAAAACACTTATGGAAAGAAGAATAAAACAGTGCAAATTTAAAGTTCAGTTGTCTTTAATTCAATAAATGAAACTGGACACATTTTTCATTATTGCCGTGGCACCCTGCTTGAGAACCGCTGATGTAGAACCTGCTGTACTGTTGCCCTATAATACTACTGTTTGTGTGAAGCGTGCTTTACTGCTGCATCTGCCAACAATTTTTTTCTCAGCTCATATAGAATAATGCTCCCTGCAATGCTAGTATTCAAACTGTTCACTGACGTCTCCATGGGGATGCTGACATAGCATCCGTAGTTGCTGTAGGCAAACTGCTTGGCTTGGGCGCTGAGTCCTTCTGTCTCCCCACCGAGGACCAGTGCCACATGCAGGCTGCTTTGTCTTGCCGACGACAAGCTGATGTCGGAGTAGTCACGTACTGGCAGCGGGACTTTGTGAAACTGTCGAGCATTTATTTCATCAGCAAAGTCTACTCTCTCGTTTTCTTTTTCATCAGAATCACTGTCAGTTTCGTTGTCACTGTCGGAAATGTTGCTGTTATTCAAAGCTGGAAAAGAGAAAGGCAATAATATTAGCATAATGAAAAATACCCTGCGCCCTCCCACACCTTTCTTTTTCTCACAAGATCTATTCTAATTGTGTTTGTTGCATTTTTTAAGGAGTCAGTGACAACCTTAGTCTTAGTCGAGATTTCAACTTCACTGTGATCAGGATTCTCTATACTTGCCCCATTTATGTACCAGAACAAATCAAATGAAATGTCCCTCACTGCCTCATTTGAAAAATGGTGAACAAACAATTAGCCCCACAACAAAGGTGGCAGGCAAGATGTTGGCCACATCACCCACAAAGTGGCGATCGGTCTATAAAAAATAAGCCTAGCCTACGCCAGAAAGAGACAGTCTGTATTCTTTAGTCATGTGATGAGGAGGAGAAAACTGGAGTACATCATGACAGTGGGAAAGTTGGAGGGGAGGAGAGGCAGAGGGAGACCTAGAGAAAAAAGATGCTGGACAATGTGACAAAATGGCATAAAGGATCATCTGTGTCAGAGGTGATTGAAAGTACACAAGAGAGAAGGTTGTGGACTGACATGACTATCAACGCCACAAGGCATGGACATTAAGAAGAAGATATGCCTAATATATAAAGACAACAGCAGATGGAAGAGGTATCAAGTCTTTTAGTCTAGAGGGGGGGGGGGGGGGGGGGGTTTAGCAGCAAAGCAAAGGCCCAAGGTCTAGTGAAGAGAGATGTAATACTGACATATGTGGTCTTAATTTGGGCTTCTAGGCAGGAACCTATGATGTGTTCCTTGTGTCAGACAAGAGTTAAAGAGTTAAAGTGCAGCATAGCTCAAGCAAGAGCAGCGATTCGCAGGATGAGGAATATTCTATTGCAATCCATTTGCTGCGATGTCAATTCCTTATTCAACAAGTGAGCCTTCACCTCATCCACTTTATCACAAAACAGCTCACCACCCAAAGGTGTTGCAGCAGCTCATCTATCAGCCTGCTTGTTAGCAGCCCATATAGACCAACACTGCACATTATGAGGTAGAAGCACTACTGCCCAAACTGATAAATGCATGCGATGATGATGAGCAAAGTTAACCTCAGCATACCAAGGTAAAGTACGAAGGAATCAGCAACTGACATCAATGCACTCAGGGTATTCCCATACCCATCCCGACCCTTCCTCAGTAGCTAAAGAAAAGTTTCCACACTGATAGTGCCAGTCACAACATGACTAAAAGATAAGTTTCACCGTCTGGGCAGAAAATCATCCAGAACTACTGTTTACTCCCAGCTGAATCACTCTCTCCAAATATGGATGCTCTTGTCTGTTTTGCTCAAATGTTTCCTTGATCTAAAATAGCCATCACCACATCCAATTTATTGTAAAGTAGCTCATCACATGGGGTGGCAGCAGCAGCTAAGCTATCAGTATGCTTATCACCATACACCCACAGATCATGGTCAAATAACACAGGACATTTAAAAAATGTGGACTTACAAACAATACATTGCACAATTTATTGCCAGGCATATTTTGCTGTATCTCATCATGTGCATAATTACAGAGTTAAATCAACATATCATGAAGTATACAATAAAAACTGAATAAATCCAACTGAAATGCGAATATTTTTTTTTTTCTATTCATCGTATTTGTTGCCGGACGTTCATTGTAGTCACAGGATTTACCAAGGTAACTTCAAATTTACTATAAATTGTCCGCTTGCAAAGGAGGGAACTGTTGATTTTAATTGTTAAAGCTTTAGCCATTCTAAGCAGTTGCCTGTCTGATGTGTGGTAAACCACAAGGAAAGCATTATCCTTGTCAATTACATGTCTGCAATGTTATCAAGCCATGCAAACCACTCGGAGCCCAAGACATGCCAAATATACCAAGGTGTAACTATTTACCTTCATCAAGCTCCTCGATCCGAAGTCTCTCGACAAATGTTTCTTCTAGCACACTGGACTGTCGTGTGTTTGCAAGGAAAACTTGAGCTTCACTGCCCAACAAATTTGGCATGTCTGACCACTGAATGCCAGTAAAGATGGGAACACAGAAGTGGCCTCCCATAGCAGATCTCAACACTTTGCAGTCCCATACATTTACAGTACCTGTTCCATAAAAATATATGCATTATTAATGAACAAATGATGCATAACAAGTGCATCTGCCTGAGAGGCAAGGAACCAACAGCCTGCATACAAATAAGCCATGTTTAGGAACTGGACACTGCAGACTCAACAAACACTCATATAAATTAGGTGGGAGCCAAACAGCTCTCTGCCAGTGTCTTTGTGCAGAATAGACTCCATGACAAGTCTTGATGGCTTTACTAAAGTGTTTTAAAATTGTTTAAAGAAATGCTCAAATGTTTGCTGCCGTACACATTACGATGGCCTTACTAATGTTTTGTTTAAAGGAAACAAACTGTTGGTCTCTTCTTCGCTGGCTGTAAACTCTGGCGAAAATTTCCGGAAACTCCTGGCTGTTCGTTCACTTCTGGACTTTGATATTGTTTCAAGTCTTGAGTTTTTATGCACATTCATTTACAGATTCCGCTCATTTATTACAAATGTTTCAAGTCTTGAGTTTTGTGTGCATATCCATTTACAGATTCCGCTCATTCATTAAAAATGTTCCAAGTCTTGAGTTTTGTGTGCACATCCCTTTACAGATTCCGCTCATTCATTGCAAATGTTTCAAGTTTTGAGTTTTGTGTGCACATCCATTTACAGATTCCGCTCATTCATTACAAATGTTTCAAGTCTTGAGTTTTGTGTGCACATCCATTTACAGATTCCGCTCATTTATTAAATATGTTTCAAGTCTTGAGTTTTGTGTGCATATCCATTTACAGATTCCGCTCATTCATTAAAAATGTTTCAAGTCTTGAGTTTTGTGTGCATATCCATTTACAGATTCCGCTCATTCATTAAAAATGTTCAAAGTCTTGAGTTTTGTGTGCACTTTACAGATTCCGCTCATTCATTAAAAATGGAAATACTGACGAAAAAACAAGAAGAAACAAGACCATGACTGAAAACAGTCATACAGGCCATTTAAGAGCAACAGACAAAATCTGGTCATCTAACGAGAATGCCCGGGTACCAATGTCACAGATAGCCACATTCAAGCAATATATGAACACAGAGCAAGGGAAAGACCATGCAAAACATGGAACGATGGCGTCAAGAACAGCCTTAAAGAGACAAAGATCATCTTATAAAATGCACCAGAAAAGCACACATAAAGGTATAGTTGGGGGGATGTGAACCATCGTCATTGAACACGGTTATAAACCATAAGTGCTCTGCCACCAGTACTGATAGCTGATAAGAAACTGTCAGCTTGTGTCACCATCTGCATGCAACTCCGTAGCTACAGCAACGTTTCTCAATCTACCCCAGAGGGTAAACTCTAGTAGCCATTAACAGGAAGCTGGTTGAACCCCGGGAATCGCCCGGCTTTGAACACTGGCTGTGGGCTGTAGCTGGATTTGGAAGTGAGTCTCCTATCGACTGTCCCGACCCAGCCTCCATACAAATACACACAGGATCGGACATCTCTCCACAACACTTGAACGCCAGGCAGATGGCCTTATTTGGATATTTTCCTCGGGGCATAAAGGACTGGCTGGTTCCGCATCAATGGGTGGTGAACTGATGCATGACAGCCTGGATGTGGTCAAGCCCCTTTGGGAGTAACTGAACAATATGGAGGCAGGAATAGATCATTAGGGCCTGGAGAGAATGGTACAGCTGGGAGTGACCAAAGAATCAGAGGAAAAGTGAGACAGAGATATAATTAAACTACTATTGGCAGTATCAGAATCAGGATTCTTTACTGGCTGCTGAAGATGAGGACAGAGTGCTTATAGGAATGTCATGAGTGTTGTGATGTATGTTCTTAGCTCAATACTTAAATGAAGCCACAGTGAACAGTGTGGAGGCGCAGATAGATCATTACGGTCATTACGAGGAAAATGGCGCTGCGAGGAGTTACCAGGGGATCTGGCCTATGCTGGGCACTCAGGGGAAGGGTGAGACGGAGATACAATCAGACGGTTACTGGTATCATCGGAACTGGAACTCTTCGCTTGCTGCTGAAGATAGGGACTATGCGCTTATGGGAGTGCCCTGAGTGCTGTGATATTGATCCTAATTCAGCATACTTCTGAGAGGTAACTGGAGGAAAAGAAGAAGAAGCAGAGGAACTAAATCTCCAGACAACGTAGAACTTCTTCTTTCATTCGCTTGAAATAAATTATCTATATTTGCAATGTTGTCTCTAGTATGAACTTCACTGTCTTTTGTAAGTCACTCAGCGATCCATAAAGTTTGACTTGCACTGATGTTTCTCTTGGCCAAAGTTGTGCCTTGATATGTTGTATTTGGGACAGTCTTGGAGGACGTGATCTGTTGTCTCAGGTGCTAGTCCACATGTGCACATGGCTGATTCGCCAATTTTAAATTTTGTGTACATGTGGCTGCTAAGTCAACTGTGTCCTGTCCTAAAGCGTAGAGTAATAACTTGCTCTGATCTGTCCATGAAATGTAGAATGTACAATACCTCTGGTAGTAATGACTCGCTGGCAACCAACAGCAGCAGCTGTACGGATTAATGTCCCAACATTTCCAGGATCTTTCATACCGTCAAATATCAGACTGATTGGAAGTGTGGTCTCTGGCAGGCATAAGGGTTCTCCTTGCTGGGGTTTCTGAAACACACCTGTGGATGGAAGGTATAATTACTGAAAAAGGGTTTTTCATGCTATTCTATGCAAGCAAGTTTGAGGGCTTGAAGCACCAGGTGTTGGAAGGACACTGACATTTGCAGATGATGTTCTTGCATACAGGCAACGGGAGCAACAGGCAACGGACTGCCCAAGAACTACAGACCATGGACAAAGTGACTGACCGGTGTGCAGAAATGGTGCTGTCCTCAACCCATAAAAGGCGGCAGTTTTATAGTGCTCTCTGGACAATAGGATGGCAATAGCTGATGTCCCAAGCCTCACAATTAATGGCAGAAACATCAAAACAGAAAGCAAACTGAGGTATCTAGGTATCACTTTCGATAGAAACCTGTCATTTAGGTAGTTGTGACAAAACGCCCCCCCCCCCCCTTCCAAAAAAAAATGACTCAATGCACAAGCACTAAAGATTATGGCAGCATGAAACCAAGAAGTCAAGGTCCCTTTTCCACGCCTTTAGGCATACAGGGCATTTGAGGCTAGACCAATATTTGTATAGACCAATCATCACAAAATGGGTTATGTGGTCAGCATCACGCCGGTCTTTACTTCCCAACTCAAGGCTGGGTCTCCTTAGGATCATACAACATATAGCTACCATAATTCAATATCAAAATGGCAGACTATGTCACGTAATGACAACATATTTAAACAAATAGCCTCTATAAATATGTTTATGCACTTGACTGCTGGGCGACTAGTGTATATACATCTTTTGGCTAACTCTGTAGGATGCATTTATTAAGATATTATAAACCAAACAAAAACACACAAAAACCAACCCATAATGCCAGCAGGAGTGACGGCATCTGACCAGACTTTCATATCTTTGTACAAAATTTTAAACAGCTCAACATCTTTCAGCAAACTGACTGGTAGGTCTCGTAGGATTTCAGGATCACAGAAGTAGATGCTTTTTGCCTTGACACCCATCATTAATGAATCCCTGATGAGCCTGTGACCTTCCAAGAGAATTGTATCATTTGCAGTTTTGATGTGGTTGGACTTGGCTTTCATGATCATTTTGCTAGTTTGTAAGAGGAAGAGGGAAAAGATGTTCTGTTAATTTCATCACAGATTTTCTGTTAATGTAATGAAACTGAGATTTCCTCAAACTCATCAGTTTCTCTTCGTGTGGGTTCTGGGACCCCATTATGGGAGAAAAATGAACAGACCCACTGTCTCCCTAACAAGCATGCCATAAGATTTAACTAACTGGGGGTTTCATTCAAGTCGAAGTGCATCTGCCTAAGAGGCGAGGAACCAAGAGTCTGCTTATAAATAAGCCAGATCTGTCAAACTGATGTGCATGCAAAACTCAAGTTCTGTGACAAGACTAAACTCTCGAAGTGAATGAAAAACCAGAACTTTTCACTGGAGTTTACAATTGGTGAACGCTAAGAAGAAAAATCACCAACTTCCATTTCTGACAATAACCACCATGGAAAGAAACAGTTTGCGTTGGCCACTGTCATTCAGTGGGTGATAGATAAGGTCCTTAAGTGGGGGATAGATAAGGTCCTTAAGTGGGGGATATATAAGGTCAAGTGGAAGATAAAGTCCTTAAGAGGGGATAGATAAGGTTTATTGGGGGATAGATAAGATCATTAAGTGGGGGATAGAGAAGACATTAAGTGGGGGATAGATAAGGCCATTCAGTGTGGATAGATAAGGTCATTAAGTGGGGGATAGATAAGGTTATTAAGTTGGGGATAGATAAGGTCTTTAAGTTGAGGATAGATAAGGTCATTAAGTTGGGGATAGATAAGGTCATTAAGTGGGGATAGATAAGGTCATTAAGTGGGGGATATATAAGGTCATTAGGTGGAGGAAAGATAGGATCATTAAGTGGGGGATAGATAAGGTCATTACATGGAGGGTAGATAAGGTCATTAATTCAAGGATAGATAAGGTCATTAAGTGGGGATAGATATGGTCATTAAGTGGGGGATAGATCAGGTCATTACATGGAGGATAGATAAGGTCATTATTTCAAGGATAGTTAAGGTCATTAAGTTGGGATAGATAAGGTCATTAAGTGGGGGATAGATAAGATCTTTAATGAGGATAGATCAGGCCCATTAAGTGGGGGACAGATAAGGTTATAGATGGTCATTGGTTGAGAATAGATAAGGTCTTTAAGTTGGGTAGATAGTCATTAAGTTGGGGATAGATAACATTAGTTTGGAGGTCTTTAAGTTAGATAAGGTCTTTAAGTGGGGATCTGTCATTTGTTGGTCATTAAGTGTGGATCTAAGGTTATTCCGAGATTCTTCAGTGGGAGAAATATAAGGTCATTAATTCAAGGATAAGGTCACTAGCTGGGGATACACACCAGCAGATAAGGTCATTAAGTGGGGGTAGATGTTTGTCCACTTTTGAAAGATTACTCATTCTTAGATAAGGTCAAAGTGGGGGAGTGTCTTTAAGCTGAGGATGCTAATCCGTGTTTAGGTCATTGGGGGATATGAGGTCATTTTTACAGAGAGCATTAAGTGTGGGATAGATAAGGTCAAATGGGGGATAGATAAGGTCATTAAGTGGGGGATAGATAAGGTCTTTAAGCTGAGGATAGATAAGGTCATTAAGTGTGGGATAGATAAGGTCAAATGGGGGATAGATAAGGTCATTAAGCGTGGATAGATAAGGTCATTAAGTTGAGGATAGATAAGGTTATTAAGTTGAGGATAGATAAGGTCATTAAGTTGGGGATAGATAAGGTTATCAAGTTGGGGATAGATAAGGTTATTAAGTTGGGGATAGATAAGGTCGTTAAGTGGAGGATAGATAAGGTTATTAAGTGGAGGATAGATAAGGTCATTAGGTGGGGGATAGATAAGATCATTAAGTGGAGTATAGAAAAGATCATTAAGTGGAGGATAGATAAGATCATTAAGTGAGGGATAGATAAGATTATTAAGTGGAGGATAGATAAGATCATTAAGTGGGGGATAGATAAGATCATTAAGTGGAGGATAGATAAGATCATTAAGTGGAGGATAGATAAGATCATTAAGTGGGGGATAGATAAGGTTATTAAGTTGGGGATAGAAAAGGTTATTAAGTGGAGGATAAATAAGATCATTAAGTGGGGGATCGATAAGATAATTAAGTGGGGGATATAAAAGGTCATTAAGTTGGGGATAGATAAGGTTATTACGTGGGGGAACAGACAACAAGTTTTCTGTCTACGACACAGCACTCAATTACTACATGCATAAAATAAAGACTGTACAGTCCCCAGACAGGACCATAAACACCTGAGCACATTCTGCAGACCTGCCCACTCTGCCTACAACTTTGAAAAGAATCGTTGTACCAAGTGAAAAGTATGCAGAGCAAGCTATGGGGAACCACGAAGGACCTAAGAGTTCATAAAGGCAACCCACCCGGCGGTCTGACCTGAAGAACAAGCAAACACTGCAACAGAACAGGCGGACCAAACAAATCTGGAGAGAATGAATCAGCTGGCAGTGAGCAGCAGCAGGACTGGACACATTTTAGCTGTAGAGAAAACTGATCAGACAGTCAACAGCAACTGGTGACCCAACAACAGGTGGAGGGATTTGATCAGACAGTTGTTGTTGTTTGCGTTCACCGGCCATCAACTCCAGTGGAAAGACCCGGTTGTTCATCCATTTCTGGACTTTGGCTTTGTTCCAGGACCTGAGTTTTGCGTGTGCATCTGTTTTGCAGATCTGACTTTTTTGTATGCAGATTGCTGGTTCCTTGCCTATCATGGCAGACGCACTCAAACTTCAACGAAAGACCCCAGTTAGTCGACTCTTACAACATGCTTTTTGGGGAGGCAGTGGGTCTGTTCTTGTTTTCCCTATAATAGGGCCCCAGAACCCACACGGGGGTGATCAGACAGTCAACTGCAACTGGTGACCCAACAACAGGTGGAGATAATTTATCAGACAGTCAACAGCGACTGGTGACCCAACAACAGGTGGAGGGAATTGATCAGACTGTCAACAGCAACTGGTGACCCAACAACAGGTGGAGTGAATTAATCAGACAGACAACAGCGACTGGTGACCCAACAACAGGTGGAGAGAATTGATCAGACAGTCAACAGCAACTGGTAACCTAACAACAGGTGGAGGGAATTGATCAGACAGTCAACAGCAACTGGTGACCCAACAACAAGTGGAGGGAATTGATCAGTCAGTAAACAGCAACTGGAGACCCAACAACAGGTGGAGGGAATTGATCAGACAGTCAACAGCAACTGGTGACCCAATAACAAGTGAAGGGAATTGATCAGAAAACAGCAACTGGTGACCCGACAACAGGTGGAAGGAATTGATCAGACAGTCATGGCAAATGGTGACACAACAACAGGTGGAGGGAACTGATCAGTCAACAGCAACTGGTGACCCAACAACACACAATATTAAGGAATTATGATGAAAGGATTTTAAAGGCAAAAGAATCGACTTCGCTGCGCCAGGTTTTTATCCCACACAGCTCAGTATCTCTTTGCATAGCAACTAATCACCTTTGAGAGTGTTGCATAAAGCACAAACACCAAAGCTCTAGCAACACCTCCCAGAGATGTCCGAAACACTTGCACTAGTGAACCAAAGAACAGAGCCTAAAATCAAACTCACGACCCTCAGAGCATGAGGCAAATGGTTTAACAACTCTGCCACAGAGACCTCCCTATAATTTCATACCGTTCACAGTTGTAATTGTTTCACTGTCCATAGTATTGTATGCTGATGAAAGCTTGCTAGCTGCAACATTCAGTTTGCTGTTTTGCAATTGTCATATTGTGAAGCCGACTAGTTTTACTTCTCATCTGGAGTGAATTTTTAAAATGATTTTTAGTACTTCATTGCATTTTACATCTGTAACATCTATAGGGGATTCAGCATCAGAAATATCATCTAGAATTCCACTGGCATCTAGTGCCTTTAACAAATTGTCAAACATCTGAAAGTCAAAGACATTCAGCAAACACACAAAACATAGATCTTCAATTCTTGTGTGATTCCAGTGCTAACTTATGGATGAGACAGTTGAAAAGCAACAGCAGCTCTAGACACAAAATGAAACAATTTTAAGAACAAATTTCTTAGAAGAATACAAAATCTCCACTGGGCAGATTTTAGATCCAATACACAGATAAGACAAGAGACTAAGCAAGATAATGTATCCAATTTTATACGAACATGCAGCTGAAACTGTATCGGCCATACATTCATAATGGATAAGACAAGACTCCCGAATCAAACCTTCATATAGATACCAGAAGGGAAAATGTTGAATTAAGAACCGACATAGCACTCAGGACAATCCCATAAGCGCTCCGTACCCATCTTCAGCAGCAAACAAAGAGTTTCAATTCCAATGGTCAGAAGGCAAAAGAAAAAAGGGAAGACCAAGAAAGAGATTACATAAAACCATCCTCAGGAAAGGCTCAACCAAGGGCCTAACAAACATCCAAGACCTAAAACAGGTGGCAACGAACTGCCAGATATGGATAGCTATGACCTCTGCCCTATGCACCGCCTTAGGCTGAAAAGAAAGACTAAGCATTTTACAACAAATAAGTTTTCCCTACAGATCTGTACTCACCCAAGTCGAATGTCGCCCTCGTTCAACTTTTCAAATTTCAGCCCTGATGCTTTCTCAGAAATACTTTGCTTCTGAATGTGCAGTTTCTTTTGACGATCGATCTCTTTATCTCTGTTTTTTAACTTGGTCAAAGCATTTTCTTTGGCTGAACTTTTAATGATCTCCTCCTGCAGGGGATCCCCTTGAACATACGGGTACTGAACATTTTTCCTTGGATCTAGGGTCATTTTCCTGTTGGTCTTTCTGCTGTAACTTCTGGCAAATATAGAAACAGCATCATTGCTGACTAACAGCCTGTAAGTCTTTGATCTGATTCTCCTCATTTGATTCATTGTGCGATGAAGAAGTGATGGATTCTGCCAAGGTTGTCACTGGCAAATTTAGACAAAATCTGGTTCCTTATATAAAAAAAAAAAAAAACAGAGAAATCATTATTACAAAAAGTGTGCAGAATTATCTCCAATAAAGAGCTCTATAAGTGAGTGATTAATGCGCAGGCACTCACTGATTTGTTGTTTTCATTTATCGAAAAAGTGAAAGATGGATAATCAATTTTAAAAGAAACCAAACGCAGTGAGCTATAGACAGGAAAAGCCATAGAGAGAAAATCAGCCTCATAACGAGGGAGTATCTACATGTTTTTGTATCCTATGTGGCAGAGACTGCCACTCCAGCATTGGACACTAGAGTCACAGCACATGCTGTTCCCAAAGCCAGCAGCCCATCTCCATAGTCCCCAGGGACTGACTGATGCCATTATGTTATTATGATGAACTGCAAATCTGGTGGCAGACTGTGTGTGTTGGCACTTCTGAAGGCTGCACTTATGCATTTAATGCACTGCTGGCTTTACTGGGACTGCATTGTGTGTCAATTTCAGCATAACGGACAGGGACAGCATTCTGTGTGGTTTCTGGTGTTGAAGGAACACAGCCATCATGGTATGCCTCATTGGCCATGAAGCTGAAACTCTGATTAACTATAAGAGGCCTGGTAGCGTAACAGCCAGCATGGCTGCCTGCTGATTCAGCAGTCATGGGTTCCAATCCCCACTAAGATGAATTACTAAATTTGATCACGGCTCTCTAGCCACCAACAGGGTACCAAGAAAAGATGTGGGAATAAAGTACTGACCAGTGCAATCATTACCACATCACATATTATACAGGCAAATTTAATCAGAACTATCCATCTTTTTACTGGCTACGTATGAATGTAAGTCCTTGTCTCTTACTCCATCATCGGAAGAAAATGATCAAAGCTTTTGAACTGAAATGCTACAAAAACATTTTTTTTTTAAATACCATGGACCAAGAAAAAAGAAGACATCCACACCCAACATGATTTAATCATGAAGGAGATTTGCCTCATAAACAGCATCCTGTCCTGTTAAACGTCATAGTGGCCTGGAGATAACAGTGTTGGAGGGTGCAGTTTCTGGAAAGTGAGGCAGGAGTCCCCATCTCCGCGAAAGTGAGGCAGGGGCCCCATCTCCGCGAAAGTGAATACAGACACTAAAATGCACTGGCTATGAAAGCTGAAGAATCTGCTAGAGAAAGAGAGGCTTTAATGCATGCCGTGATGAGCGATGACAGCGATGTTCTGCATGATGATCGATGACAGCGATGTTCTGCATGATGATCGATGACAGCGATGTTCTGCATGATGATCGATGACAGTGATGTTCTGCAAAGGACACTGTTGACTGATGATAATTTATTCTGGGCTAACTTTATGTTACTAGTGACAAATATGGATCCTTACTGCAACTAATGAGCAGAAAATCAAAACGGGGATATCTTAGTATAGATGTCAGAGTAATAAAAGGAGATTACATTTTTTTTTAAAGACTAGCACTGAAACCAGTCATTCAGCTCATTAATTCTTTGGGTCCCAGGGAACGCATCATACGTTCATACCTAGAAGCCCAATGAACGCATGATGTGTTGATTTTAGTCTCTTTTTACTACCCATTGGGCCTGTGATGCTAAACCCCCTAGGACTGAAAGAGTTAAAGAGCAGAAGGATGAGATGATGTGGCTATCTGACGAGAATGCCCAGTTACTGGTACCAACTATAACAGAGATCTATGCTGAAAAAATCTTATCAACATAGAGCCATAGAAACACTGAAAACATAACACTGGCATCATGAACAGTATAAAAGAAATGAATTAAGCCTATACAACACATTAGAAAGAGGAGCACACAAGAGATCCCCCCCCCCACCCCCGTTTAGTTTCTCTTGAGCATTCTTATTTCCACACTTTTGTTTCCCATGAAAGGGGTATCATCAGAACTTGTTATTTAAGGGTACACAGTGCCCTGATCCTAATGACAGCATTAACCATCTAACAAGAAGGGACCAGGCCACCATCTTCAGACTTAGAACGCAACACACTCCACTCATTGGACATCTAAACAGAATACAGCCACACTCTAGGAAGTGCCAGCTATGTAACTACCCCTATGAAACTGTTGAACACCATCTCTTTGAGTGCCCAAAACTCAGCGAGACTAGAAGAATGCTACTCCCTCCGAGACCAGACAAGTGGAACACCTTGTACGGAGGAAAAGAACAGCTTGTGAAAACATGCAAATTCCACTACATGGCATGGGCCAAAGGGCGAAAGCTCATGCGCCGCTGGATCGATAACAACAACAACAACAAGGGTACACAGTACTGGTAACTTGTTTTAGGTACCATTTATTTTCAGTGTTAGTGTAAAAGTCACTCTCTGCTGAGTACCAGCACCATTTTATACACTATGTGGTCAGTACTGGCACCTATTTTTTTTTAAATTGAAAAACTGGGTATTATTATCACATACCATGCAAATAACTGTAGGCTGTAATGTTTCACTATCTCACATGATCACCAGAATCATACATCAGCTCAGTGTTCTTGCCCTAGTCATCCAGGTATTTATCTCTTTTCCTTCCCCTTGTTCTTTTTCCATCATCACCAAGTTCTCAAGTCCATTCCTTCTTGTACCATGTCAGAAAAAAACCAAATGTCTCCATCTAATTTTCTCTAGTCAGGTTATGTTTTCAAAACTGTAGGAGTTCTCCATGTGTTTTGTCATTCCAACAATATTCTTTGCACTCTTCTCAAAAACCATATTACCGCTGCAAGTAAATAATTATTTTCAGCTAGTCTGCTATGCTATATTTTTGTTTAATTAGGGCTATTCAACTGAATGCCCGTGGGCCAAATCATGCCCATAAAGGCATAGCAAGTGGCTATCGAATTATTGCCAGTTGTATTACATTAATGATATTTCTATGCTTGGACACAAGCCTCTGGCCAGTGACGATCCCCAGTTTGAAAATATTGGCCCCTGAAAAACCTGGTCAAATAGCCCTGTCCTGTATCAATTCTTCTTCTTCACTTTCACCAACTGTAAACTCTGGCAGAAAGTTCTGGCTGTTCATCCACTTCTGGACAGCAGTCCTGTTCCAGAACCTGAGTGTTGCGTGTGCATCCGTTTTACAGATCTGACTCATCTGTATGCAGACTTGGTTTCTTGCCTCTCAGGCGGATGCACTCAGACTTTGAAGGAAGCTCCCAATTAGTCGACTCTTACGACATGCTTTTGAGTAGGCAGTGGGTCTATTTTTGTTTTCCCTATATTATGGCCCCGGAACCGACACGGGGTCTATATCAATTCATTTGCATAAGACATGTTGGCCTGAAAACCAGCTGCACACACATGTTGTGTTTACAACTGACTCACAAAGCATGCTGGGAAAGGTGGAGACAGGTATCAGGTATGCTGCAAGCAGAAGAATTGCCTTAGAGGTCCCGGGCAGTTAGTACCCTTTTGATAATTTCCAAATGAGATTCAGGTGTGTTGGGAAATGAACAGTAGGAAAGACTAACTGGTTCTGCCAGACTGGTTGAATACTGGTGGTAAACGTATCATATGGCACGCTACATTTTATTGAGGCCCTCATCAAATGCACTACTAGAGATCTAAACAAACATATAATGAATGACAAAATAAATCCAGCTCTCCTCCGAACTTCATCCCAAATTATGGTGGCCAAACCATGGGCCTTAGTCATGTGTAAAATGCGGGCAGCCTGCAGAGGAACTAATTTCAGGAAAACTAGGATTGCCTCCGAATAGCGGGCCAATATTATCGAGGGCAAACAAATACTCTAACAGGGTCTCAGCAATATGTTAATTGCAGACCTGTTTCTGCGACTATGCGCGGCGCGGATGGGGGGCTAAACTAGATCCCTGGGACTCACGAGCAAATAAATTGAAAGAAGTTGCAAGAGATGCAGTAGCTGCTGCTCGTGAGTCCCAGCTATCTAGTTTAGCCCCCCCCCCCCCCCCTAATCTGCGACACGGAGGGATAAGCTCGGCAGTGAGCTTAATCGAAAGAACACTAGCGCTAACCTGCGTCGGAGCACGTGGTCTCCCCACCATGTCGCTATTATCATGTGTATTGTTGTGTTTTTCAAAATTGTCAACGGACAGTAATCCAAGTTTTGCCGCGATGTGTTCGTAGGAGGAAGTCCTCATTTTACACATGAGTGAGGCCCTGTTAGGGTATTTGTTTGGCCGCCAGGCTGTCCTCCGAACGGCGTCATAATATTATGGCGGCCATAAAATATCCAAAAATATCCGAACGGGGCTCAGCCATATCTAAAATATAGATTTTCTGCCAAGGAACACACAAATCACGACAAAACTAGGATTACTTGACAATATCAACATTGCACACAATAGTAGCAGATGATAAATACCAACCGCTGACAATTTTGAGCGTTTCTGCAGACGATACTAGCAGACGATATTAGCGACGTTGACAATTTTGAGACATTACAGATGGTGAAAGCGATATGGCGGGTAGACCACACGCTCCCACGCAGATTAGCAATACTGTTCGTCCGATTGAGTATTTAGCAGCGGTAGAAGTCAGACCTGCCGGCCTGTATCCTGGAGGACGTTGATTCAAGTTGCAGGAGATGCGGTAGCTGCTGCTCATGAGTCCCAGCCATCTAGTTTAGCCCCCAACCGCGAAGCGCGTAGCGGCGCGGGGATACGGTCGGCGGTGAGGCACAGTCACAGAAACAGGTCCACAAGTAACATATCGCTGGAACCCTGTCAGAGCATTTGTTTCGTTATACGGAGCCGACATATTTTTAATAGAACTGAGCCCCGTTCTGATATTTTTTTGATTTTGGCTCTCCTTTGAATCAGCCCCCAAAATGGCGGCATGCCACATTCTGGCCATAAAATATCCGAACAACGGTGTTCGCGTATATCTAAAATACGGACTTTCTGCCAAGGAACAAATCGCTGCAAAACTAGGATTACT